CAGGGTTTCAGACCCGCGGATACCCCAGTCGAAGCCGAAGTTTGAAGCCCATGGCACATGGCCAAGGGTCAGGATGGGCCGAGAGGCAAGGACACGAGGGCAGTTCTGTGCAATTGCTCAGCCTCGTGAGCCTCCCCTTCCTCCTGGGCGGTGCAGCCCAACCCGCTGCGGCGCAGACTGCACATTGATACCACACCGCGACGAAACGGTCGCAGCGAACCGTGGCAGGAGCCTCACGAGTGCCCCTGCCGACCAGCCCACGCGTCCCTCAGGACGGTGGAGGAGGAGGAGGAAAAGGAGGAGGAGGACGAGGAGGAGGAGGCGGCGGAGGAGTAAGGCAGAAGAAGGAGGAAGAGGACCAGCGCATCTGACTGAATGAGGTCTGTCTGATCTCTGCTGTACTACTCGAGCGCTTGCTGCATTTCCCTGATCATTGATTCAAAGGTGACTGGGGTTGCAAAACACGGCCTGCTTTTCATGCCTCCCTTGGGGTGGCGGCAGGTCTTAAAGCAGTGTAAAGCAGATAACTTGTTACTGCTGGTGAAGGCCCCATTGCACTCCTTCTTGAATGCCTTGGGATAGAATTCGCTGTAAACACCGCAAGACCAACAAACAAGAACACAACTCTCGGAATCTAAGCGGTCGAACACGTGAATGTTGTGCCCTTCACTGTCTTCGGAAAGGGCAGCCAAACTCGCGCAGTGGCCTGGGCAGGCAAGGAGGAGGAGGAGGAGGAGGAGGAGGAGGAGGAGGAGAGGAGGAGAAGAGAGGGGGGGGGGACGCGTGGCCCTCTCGCTTCTGCAGGGCCTGGCCGCGCACCGACCCCGGGGCCCGGCCGCGGGCCACCAGCGCGAGGAGGGGCCACAACGGCGGCGCGGCGCCGCTCCCCCCCTGGCCAGGACGACGGCGCACGACGACGGCGAGCGCGGGAGGAGGGAAGGCGTCGCGGCGCAGAGGAGCCAGTGGGGCCGGAGAGAGGGGCGCCTGGGGGGGGGGGGGGGACGCGCGCTGGGGCGGGACGCTTGGGGACGCGTTGACCTGGGGGGGTACGCTTGGGAGGGAGTGGTTGACCTGGGGGGGCGCGTGGGGGGGGGGGGGGGCGGGGCGTTGACCTGGGGGGGGGGTCGCTGGGGAGGGGCGCTGGGGCGGGGGGGGGGTCGTGAGGAGAGGGGAGGGGAGGAGGAGGAGGAGGAGGAGGAGGAGGAGGAGGAGGAGGAGGAGGAGGAGGAGGACTGGGGGGGGGAAACTGGCTCTCCAGGTGTTGGAGGGGGGGGGCGTGGACCTGGCGATGGGCCCCCGATGCAGTCGCCCTGTACGGTGAGGATGCGCGATAAGGATGCAAGGGAATTGGAGGGCCGTTTCGAAGCTTTGCGAGCGGGGCGCGGCCACCGAAAGCGGCCAAGGCTGGACCGAGGAGGCAAGGATGCAAGGGTGCCCTTGGGAAGGTTGCCCATCCTCACTATGCGGGTTGACTGCAGCGCATCCGCACGGTGCTGGGCGGGGCGGGCTAAAAAACCATTGGCGACAGGGGGTCCATGTATCCTCCCCTGAGCCAATCAAGTTGCTTCTCTGGGTCTCGAACTAGTCTTGAGAAGATGAAGAAGAAGAAACAAAAGCTACATCAACGGAAAATGTCAGGTCCACGCTGCTTTCCCGGATCGTTGCTGGACCCACCTCCCTGGCGCGCGGAGCGCGCAAGAGGCGGCGACAGAGGCGCCACCAAGGGGGTCTAGCGCCGATCCAGGAAATCAGCACGAATATTCGAACATATATGTTTATGCTGACATGTCTGCTTCTAATGTCCCAGGATGGAGCGTCCACCAAAATTTTGGGCACTAGAGATCGAATCCGATCGGCTGCGGCATGATCCACAACAATCCCACGCAAGCATCGGGTCCCATCGGCTCGTCGGAATCGCCATCGAATCAGATCGAATCGACATAAGCCCTGATATCTCCTCTGAGCTACGGGACTACAGCTTCAAGAAGCGAGGTTTCTCCACAGCATGGGCCTGGTTGGCGAGGAGAACGCTCTCGCCTGGAAACGTCCCCTGTCGGCGCCGAGCTGGTGACAGCTCGGAGAACAGGTGAGGGCAGAACGGCACTCGCACGGCTGCCGAAACCAGGATTGCTCGAACAGTGGATAGAGGAATGACAGGCAGAGGGGAGGACAACTCGGTGGCGAGCGAGGGGGGAAGTGAAACGGAGAAGGCCTTCTCACAAAGTTCGGAAGTCCCCTGGCCTTCTAAGAAGTTGTCTGAGCCTTCCCCGAAGAAGGATAAAAACTTCTCAGAAGGCGCGAAGGTTTCTGAGAAGTCCAGCCGCCTTCTGAGAAGGCCTTCTCCTTCTCATTTCCCCCCCCTCGCTCGCCGCCGGACAACACAAGGGGGAAGGAAGAGGAAGGAAGAGAGGAGGTGCTCCCGACTGGGGCACAGAACGTGAATGAATGGATTCCTCGCGCTCGCCACCCCCCGCGCCTCGCCGTCGCCTCCCCCCTCGTCGGCGTCCCGTTCCCCACCCCCGACACCGTCTCTGCATGCTCCCTGTCCGCATGTTATCCCTCTTCCTCCTCAACATCGTCCACATCACCTCCTCTTCTTCCCCAACATCGTCCACCTCACCTCCACCTCACCTCCTCCCCTTTGACGTTCAAATCCTCGTCACCTTCCGTCTCCTCGTCCTCCCTCCCCTTACCCAACCTCGTCGTCGTTATGGCATGCACCGCCTCATCCGCAACATGATCATTCTCCTCCTCCTCCTCCTTCTCCTCCTCATCCTCCTCCTTCTCCTCCTCCTCCTCCTCATCCTCGTCGTCCTCCTCCCCTTTCCCCTTCTCGTCATCCTGTTCCCGCTTCTGCTCTGGTTGCCGTCCCTCCTTTCGTCCAGATGCTCCTCATCCAGCGGTCTCTTCGTCGCCCACGTATTGCGCTTCCTCCTCATCCCCGTCCTAAACACAGAATTCCTCGTCCTCCTTCACGTGCGCACCCTCCATCTTCTCCTCCTCTCCACCCTCCTCCCCATCACCAGCATCTTCCTCCTGCTCGTCGTCGTCGTGCTCCACCTCGTCGATATCATTATCCTCCTCCTCGTCCTGTTCATCATTGTGTTTCTCCTCCTCCTCCTCCTCCTCCTCCTCCTCCTCCTCTCCTCCTCCTCCTCCTCCTCCTCCCTGCTCCCCTCTTCAATCCAATCGCTGCTCATCCTCCTGATTCTCCCTCCTCCTCCTCCTCCTTCCCTCCTCCTCCTCCTCTCCCGCGCTGTGCCCCGCCCCCCCCCCGCCCCAAAATACTCCTCTCCGTCCCGTTCCTCCTGACGCCGCGCCCTCCGAGCCGAGGGTCGAACCGCGCGGGGAGGGACGCCCACAGCTGGCTCTGTGAGAGCAACTTGCGAAGGCGGACCCCCCAAAGCGGAACAGCGCGTTCGCCGAGACAAGGCGGTGCGCGCTGGTGCTCCCGTGGTGGCATGGGCCTCACTGCCTCTCGTTCTGGTATTGTCGATGCTGTAACATGAGCACCCGAACAATCCGATCATTAAATGAAATGTGTGTTCAAAATGTTTGAAACATGCCCTACGAATGTTTAAACCATGTGTTTACATATTTAAGATTTGTTTACAACATGGTTTAGACATCTGGAAAGTACTGGATAACATCTTTCCTCTCCATTGATCGTCGTCCACAACTCTGGCAGCCTGCCGATGATGCTGGCCTTTGTGTTTAAGGCAGCCCCGACCCTCTCCCAGACTGGCCCCGTCGGAGCGTCTTGCCGAGCATGCAAGCTGCGACGTTGGTTGTCGCCGCGCTGACTTGGCCGAGTGTCGAACTGTGCGAGGGGGCGTCCACAGCTGGCTCTGTGGGTGCTACTGGCGAAGGCGGCCCCCCAACGCGCCGCTGGCCTGGGCGAGGCTGTGCTTTAGTGCTCTCTTGCTGGCGGGGTTTACCCATGCCCCACGTGAAATGGGGGACGTAAATTGCAGCGTCTCTGACCTCGCGCGTCCCCAGTGCATCTCTTTTCCCGGGGTGGAGGCACCGTCCACTCTGGCGTAAGGCTTGGCAGTAGCTCATGTAAAACAAATCCTCCTCCTCCTCATCCTCCTCCTCTTCCTCCTCCTCCTGCTCCTCGTCCTCCTCCTCCTCCTCCTCCTCAACATCATCATCAACATCAGCATCAACATCATCGCCATTCTCATCATCAGCATCATCATCATCAGCATCAACATAATCCTCCTCCTCATCATCATCATCATCATCATCATCATCATCATCATCATACTCACCATCACCATCATCATCACCACCATCAGAAGCATCATCGTCATCACCATCATCAGCAACATCAGCACCAGCATCATCATAATCAGCATCATCATCAACATCATCAACATCATCACCATCATAATCGGCAGCACCACCATTACCATCACCACCAACATCATCATAATCATCATATTCAGTATCTTCAGCATCGTCATTAGCATCACAATCATCGTCATCGTCAGCCTCATCATCATCATCATCATCATCATCATCATCGACATCGTCATCAGCAGCAGCAGCAGCAGCAGTATCATCATCATCATCATCATCATCATCATCATCATCATCATCATCATTATTATCATCAACATCATCATCATCATCATCACTCTCATCATCATCATCATCATCATCATCATCATCATCATCATCATCATCATCACTCTCATCATCATCATCATCATCAGCATCATCATCATCAGCATCATCATCAGCATCATCATCATCATCAGCAGCATCATCGTCCTCCTCCTCCTCCTCTCCCTCTCCTCCCTCCTCCTCCTCCTCCTCCTCCTCCTCTTCCTCCTCTCCTCCTCCTCCACCTTCTTCCCCCCTCCCACCCTCCCTCTCTCCCTCCTTCCCCCTTCCATCCACTTGCTGCTCGTCCTCCTGATTCTCCTCTCCCTCCTCTTCCTCCGCCTTGTGCCCCTCCCCCCCTTTAGCGCAGCGTGCCCGGCAGGGGGGACCTCCCGCATGCAGAAGTTGACTGTGTCCGAGGAGAACTGGCTGCAGGTCGCCAGTACCTGGATCAGCTGCGGTCTCAGCGACTCCGCCTAGCACGGGGGTGAGGGGCAACGGTGCAGTCGAAACATGGACGCAAAAACGTCCATCGAGAACACTAGCCCCTTGGCTGATAGCCCAAGGCCCCACGGAGATGCGCCAAACGAAGGCCACGCTGAGAAGGAGGGCCCAGTCACGAAGAACACGAGGTTACCCCATCCAACGTCAGGTCTGCTCCGAACACTCGTTCCTGATGTAGGCGGGGGGGACCAGCTCAGGTGGAACACATCGCCCCTGAACCGGCCGCACATCCCCCATCGCGACACGGAACATTGAAGGGGCCCCAGGACACACGAATAAATACACACACATAAAAATCTTCCCCATACTCCCATATTTCCGGGGTTTTTGCCTTCCCCGCATATTTTCCCATATTTTCCCATATTTTCCAGGGACTCGACGATTAATTGCGTCTGTGTGATTTTTTCCTCCTGAAACATCCCTGGGCGGGGTGGGCTGCCGGGCCCCTCTCGGCGCTCAGTGGGTGATCGGGGGCCGATGCATCCCCACCCGGGCCTACAGTCGGGGCGTTGACCTATTTTCCATAAGTTAACCTTCGAGTTCCTATCGAAAACCTAAGGAAAAACCTGAGGCAAGCCGCGAAACACATAAGGAACACGGAGCCCCTCCCCAACGAGAAAGGTTCCTTCTTCAGGGCCCCGGCTGTAGATCCCAACCGATGCAACGGAAAGGGCGCGCATCGGAAAACGGCCGCGCCCCAGCGCAGATGGCGTGGCGCGCGAGTCTCCTCTTCCTCGCCATCTTCCTCCTCCTCCTCCTCCTCCTCCTCCTCGTCCATCCTCCTCCTCCTCCTCGTCCTCCTCCTCCTCTTCCTCCTCCTCCTCGTCCTTCTCCTCGTCGTCCTCCTCCTCCTCTTCCTCCTCATCCTTCTCGTCCTTCCTCCTCCTCTTCTTCCTCGTCCTCCTCCTCGCCCTCCTCGTCCTCCTCGTCCTCCTCGTCCTCCTCCTCGTCCTCCTCGCCCTCCTCCTCTTCCTCGTCCTCCTCCTCCTCCTCGCCCTCCTCGTCCTCCTCGTCCTCCTCCTCATCCTTCCTCCTCCTCCTCCCTCCTCCTCCTCTTCCTCGCCCTCCTCCTCGTCCTCCTCCTCCTCCTCCTCCTCTTTCAGGGGCTGGGGCCCTCCTTTCTGGGGGAGCCGAGGGCGCCTCCTGGGACACCGGCGCGCCGTGCACCCGCGGCCCTGCCGCCCTTGGTGCGCTCGAGGTGCGAGCCGACGGCGCTCAGCATCAGCGACTGGGGGCGGGGTCGAGGAGGAGGAGGAGGAGGAGGAGGAGGAGGAGGAGGAGGAGGAGGAGGGAGGAGGAGGAGGAGGAGGGAGGAGGAGGAGGAGGAGGAGGGAGGAGGAGGAGGAGGGAGGAGAGGAGGAGCGGAGGAGAGGAGGGAGGAGGAGGAGGAGGGGGGAGGAGGAGGGAGGAGGAGGAGGCAGGAGAGAGGAGGAGGAGGAGGAGGAGGAGGGAGGAGGAGGAGGGAGGAGGAGGAGAGAGGAGGAGGAGGAGGAGGAGGAGGAGGAGGAGGAGGAGGAGGAGGAGGAGGGAGGAGGAGGAGGAGGAGGGAGGAGGAGGAGGAGGAGGAGGAGGATGGAGGAGGAGGAGGGAGGAAGGGAGAGGAGGAGGAGGAGGAGGGGAGGGAGGAGGAGGAGGAGGAGGAGGAGGAGGAGGAGGAGGAGGAGGAGGAGGAGGGGAGAGCAAGGCTGCGACTGAGGCGACGGTGCTCAGCAGCGGCATCAGCGTCCTGGCAGGCGGGGTGGGTCGGGGCGAAGGGGGGCGGGGGCGGCCCGTCGCGGGGTGGCGCGGCAGGACAGAGGAGGAGGGTGCAGGGCAGCGACGGGGTCGGAGAGGTGGGGGTGGATGGTCGGTCGCGGGGGGGGGGGGGAGGGAGAGAGAGAGAGAGAGAGGGAGCGCAAGACACAGAGAGAGGTGTATGTGTACATATACGTATATGTGGATAGGATGAGGAGGAGATATAGAGAGACAGAGAGACACAAGAGAGGGAGAGAGATGACCCAAATCAATACGTCAGACCAACAGCTATATATACACATATACATACATATGAATGAGAGAGCGTGTTGCACAAGCGCTTGCCTTGGGAACATTCAAGAGGGCCCCCAGTCGACCCAGACGGCCCAAGAGGCCTCCAAGAGGGCCTCCAGGAAGGCCCGCCGAGGCCAAAATCTTTGATCTCCTGTACATTTGTTTTGCGGATTTCGACGCTCGCTTTATTTCGGCCTTTCCGACGGCCCGAGGCGGCCCAAGAGCCCCCAAAGATCGCCTGAAGATCGCCCCATAGGCCTCCAAGATGGCCCCAGCACGGCCCAAGAGGCCCCCAAGACCGCCCCAGGGGGGCCCCAAGATGGCCCCAAGAGGCATCCAAGACGCCCAAAATGGCCTCCAAGACGGCCCTGGAGCACCCCAAGAGGGCCCCCAGTCGGCCCAGAGAGGCCCCCATGACAGCTTCCGACGGCGTCAGACGGGCCTGGAGCTCACCAAGACGACCCAAGATGGCTCTCAGATGGCCGAACACAGCCCAAGACGCCCCCAAGAAGTCTCCAAGACTGCCCAAGAGGCCTCCAAGATGGCCCCAGTACGGCCCAAGAGGCCCCCAAGACCGCCCCATGAGGGCCCCAAGATGGCCCAAGAGGCCTCCAAGACGCCTAAGATGGCCTCCAAGACGGCCCTGGAGCACCCGCAGAGGGCCCCCAGTCGGCCCAGAGAGGCCCCCATGACAGCTTCCGACGGCGTCAGACGGGCCAGAGCCCACCAAGACGACCCAATATGGCTCTAAGATGGCCTACCACAGCCCAAGACGCCCCCAAGGGGCCTCCAAGACGGCGCAAGCGGCCTCCAAGAGGGCCTCCAGGAAGGCCCGCCGAGGCCAAAATCATTGATCTTCTGTAGGTGTTGTTTTACGGATGTTGACGCTTGCTTTGTTTCGGCCTTTCCGACGGCCCGAGACGGCCCAAGAGCCCCAAAAGATCGCCCCAAGATCGCCCCAGAGGCCTCCAAGATGGCCCCATGACAGCTTCCGACGGCGTCAGACGGGCCAGAGCTCACCAAGACGACCCAAGATGGCTCTCAGATGGCCTACGAACAGCCCAAGAAGACCACAAGGGCCTCCAGGAAGGCCCAAAAGACCAAACTCATTGATTTGCCCTAACTGTTTGACGGGATTTGTCGGTTGCGCCGTTTTGACTTTCAGACGACCCAAACGGCCCAACAGACCCGAAAGATCGGCCAAGAGGCCTCAAGGATGGCCACAGAACGGCCCGAGAGGCCTCCAAGACGGCCCCAAGAGGGCCCCCAGACGGCCCAAGAGGCCTCCAAGACGCCCAAGATTGCCTCCCAAACGGCCCTGGAACACCCCAGGAGGGTTTCAAGTCAGCCCAGAGAAGCCCCTCCGAGACGGCTTCTGACGGCGTCAGACGGGCCAGGAATGCCCTGAGACGACCAGAGAGGCCCCCGAGAAGCCCCCAAAGGTATCCAAGAGCCCCAAGGAGGCCCCCAAGATGCCTCCAAGAGGCTCGCAGGAAGCTCCTAGGAGGCTCCAAGAGTGCCCCCAGAGGCTCCCAAGATGCCCCCTCTTCCTCCTCCTCCTCTTTCTCCTTCTCCTCCTCCTCCTCCTCCTCCTCCTCCTCCTCCTCCTCCTCCTCCTCCTCCTCCTCTCCTCCTCCTCCTCCTCCTCCTCCTCCTCCTACTCATCCTTCTCCTCCTCCTCCTCCTCCTTCTCCTCCTCCTCCTCCTGATCTCCCCCTCCATCCTCCCCCGAGTGTTCCCCGAAGGGTTTCCACAACGGTTGGGGGAACACATGGTCCGATAGCTTGGCAGAGCTCTTGCCACAACGCTCAGCCGCATCGGCGATTCCAAAAGGCAGGGGGCGGCGGTGATTCGCCGTAGGCGTCTTCGATAAAGCGAGAGAGGGAGAGAGAGAGAGAGAGAAACAACAAAAAGATAGAGAGAGAGAGAGAACAGAGAGAAAGAGAGGAAGAGCGAGAGAGAGAGAGAGAGAAACACACAAAACACATTAGAAATAGAGCGAGAGAGAGAGAGAGAGCGAGCGAGCGAGAGAGAGAGAGAGAGAGCAGCAAAAGAGAACAACAAAGGAGCATTCGCCCCACCCTCTGGCCAACCAGTCTCACTACCCCCCCTGACCAGCCCTGGTCAGAACAACCATGCCCACGAGATACAGCAAAGGCATGCTAAATCCAGCACTTCGTTTCACAAGGGAGGGCGGTGCTAGATTCAGAAGACGATGCGCAAACACCTCGATTGCGAGGTCAGCGGGGCCCTCCGTCAACTTAATTGCTGTTGATCACAGGAACATAAAACGGCATAACCCTATACTTTCGACGTTACGCGCGGAATTTTTCGATCCGCGCTGGAGCCCCCTCCCTGGCGCGCGGAGCGCGCCAGGGGCGGCGCCCGATGCGCCGCTAGGGGGGCCCAACGCGGATCCAAGAAATCCGCGAGGACCGTCGACGTATATATTGATTCAATGTTTTGAGAGAGCGTGATCCACCGCCGCTTTACTATGGAAAATTGCCGCCCTTTTCCTCCGCACCCCGGGTTTCCCCCCCCCCTCTCCAAACTTCCCCCCCCCCTCCCCCCCCCAACTCCCCGGCTGGACCCCCACCCTCCCCCGGCCAAACCACCCCCCCCCCTCCCCTTAACCCCCCCCGCCTCGAAACTCGAAAACCGGGGGGTGTCACTACCGGTTCGGAATCCCCCCCCCCCCTCGAAAACCGGAGCGGTGGGTCACTACCGGTTCGAAAACACACACACGTCCCACTGTTCCCACCACTGTCCCCACTGTCCCCACCACTGTCCCCACTGTACCTCTGTCCCATTGTCCCACCGCCGTCCTCGCCACCGCCTTCACCACTGTCCCCACCACCACTGTACCCTCCACTGTCCCACTGTTTCCACCACATTCCCACTGTCCCCACACCACTGTCCCCACCACCACCGTCCCCACCACTGTCCCACTGTCCCCACTGTTCCCACCAGTGTCCTCACCAGTCCCCACCACTACCGTCCCCACCACTGTCCCACTGTCCCCACCACTGTCCCGCTGTCCCCTCACCACTGTCCCCACCACCACCGTCCCCACCACTGTGCGCACCCCCCCTCGGTTTTCGAGGGGGGGGGGGTTCGAACCGGTAGTGACCCCCCTCGGTTTTCGAGTTCGAGAGGGGGGGGGGGTTCGAACCGGTAGTGACCCCCCCCCTTTTCATGATGAGCTGGGGGGGGGGAGGGGTTCGAACCGGTAGTGACCCCCCCCCGGTTTTCCGGAGGGGGGGGGGGGGGGGGTTCGAACCGGTAGTGACCCCCCCCGGTTTTCCGTCAGCAACGGTAGAACACGCTCTTTCAATGTTTTTGTTATTCGATGTATGCACAACTGACGGGGCCTTAGGACACACAAATCAATACACACAAATAAAGGGATTCCCCATGTTTTCCATATTTTCTGGGTTTCTGTCTTCCCCCCCACTGCCCATATTTTCCCACATCTTTCGGGGAATCGAGGATTCATTGTGTCTGTGTTTTTTCCTCTCCTGTGTGTTATTCGATGTATGCACAAATTCTCGTCGAACGATAGAGAGCGTGAGCGCCGACCGTCAAGCGTCGGACGCAGGGCGAGCAGCGAGTCCGTGCCAAAAATCCGTGCCGAGCCCTCGCCGAACACACCCGCCGCAACTGCGCCGAGCCCGCGCCGGACAGATCCTAAGACGGCATCGTCTCCAGGGCAATATGTGGGAAAAGTCGGGGAAAACACACACACACAAAAAAAAACACACGGTGGGCAAAAAAAAACACACAGTCTGTGGAAAAGACACACACAACACACAAAACGCACACAGTGGGAAAAAAAACAGTGTGTGTGTGTGTGTGTGTGTGCGTGTGCGTGTGTGTGTGCGCGTGCGTGTGCGTGTGCGTGTGCGTGTGCGTGTGCGTGTGCGTGTGCGTGTGCGTGTGCGTGTGCGTGTGCGTGTGCGTGTGCGTGTGCGTGTGTGCGTGTGCGTGTGCGTGTGCGTGTGCGTGTGCGTGTGCGTGTGCGTGTGCGTGTGCGTGTGCGTGTGCGTGTGCGTGTGCGTGTGCGTGTGCGTGTGCGTGTGCGTGTGCGTGTGTGCGTGTGCGTGTGCGTGTGCGTGTGCGTGTGCGTGTGCGTGTGCGTGTGCGTGTGCGCGTGTGTGTGTGTGTGTGTGTGTGTGTGTGTGTGTGTGTGTGCGTGCGTGCGTGCGTGCGTGCGTGCGTGCGTGCGTGCGTGCGTGTACATGTGCGTGTGCGTGTGCGTGTGCGTGTGCGTGTGCGTGTGCGTGTGCGTGTGTGTGTGCGTGTGCGTGTGCGTGTGCGTGTGCGTGTGTGCGTGTGGTCGTGTGGTGTGTGTGTGTGTGTGTGCGTGCGTGCGTGCGTGCGTGCGTGCGTGCGTGCGTGCGTGTGTGTGTGTGTGTGTGTGTGTTCCCCCAACACAATGTGTGTGTTTTCCCACAGTGTGTGTTGTGTGTGTTTTCCCCCAGTGTGTGTTTTAGCTCCCAGCAAGACATCCGATCCGAGGGTTCGACCTCTCTGGATCCTGGAGGCGCCTGTTGCCCCAGACGTGTGCGCCGCACGACGCTCGGGCATCCGCCCAGAGTCCGTCCACGACCCAAGATCTGGAAGGGCAGCTCCCTCGGGTCGGGCATCTCGTCGGGACTCGACCGAAGTCCCGCGTCGAATCCGCGCCGGTCGGACACAGGACACTACAGCAACCTCCAGGACACCAACGTTTGTCAGCCAGCCTCCAACCCCCTGGGAAGGAGGAGAGTATCCAAGAGATCCCGCTCAGTGCACCAAGGTGCGTTGCCGACGGCCGGGGCAATCTCACTCGACCGTTGCTCGTGATGAAACGGCGTCCTGAACGCTGCGGGAGGAAGGGGACGAGAAGGAGGAGGAGGAGGAGGAGGAGGAGGAGGAGGAGGAGGAGGAGGAGGAGGAGTGAGAGGAGGAGGAGGAGGAGGAGGAGGAGAGGAGGAGGAGGAGGAGGAGGAGGAAAGAGTGAGGAGGAAGAGTGAGGAGGAGGAGATGAGGCGGAAAGAGGACGGAGGAGGTGGAGAAAAGGAGGGAGGAGGAGAGAGCGGGGGGAGGAGGAAGGGCGCAGGAGGTGTGGGGAGGAAGGGTGGAGACGAACACCGACCCCCGCAACGCCCCACCGACCAAGAGTCCCCCAAAGGTGGTGCAGCGTAGAGGACGCCGCCGCCGGAGCCGCAGCGAGGGCGGCGGCGGCGATGCGGCAGGGCGGCGCCACGACGTCTCTCTGCGCGCAAAGCCGCAGCCCGTGCTCACTCAGCAGGGTCCGCAGCAATACCACCGAGCGCATGGGCCTCGCCACAGCGTCGTCGTCGTGGCCGCTCTGCGCGGTCGCCGTGTTCGTCGTGTTCGTTGTCGTCTCTGTCGTAGCCGCCGTCGTCTTCGTCGTCGGTGTCGTCTTCCTCTTTCCCCTCATCCTTCGACTGAACTGTAGAGGAAGAAACAAACGCATCAGCATACAGTCAGGGAGGTCCGCGCGGACATCCGAATGTGTACGTGAATGCGTCCTGGTCTCCAGCTCTAGCATCGTGGATCCCCCTTCCCATCAGTTGGTAAGCTGGCTTTCATTTTGATTGGGAAGGTTATGTCGACTGTTGCGGGAAAACAAGGTTTCGGGAGAGGCGCATGCGCTGGATCGAGCCAGACGACACACAATCACATGCATGGAATGGCAAAAACTGAACGGCAAAAAAACGAGGCGATTGGACCCGTGTCATCAGGAAAGACACCGCATATGAAATGGTTGGGCGGCGGTTGTTCTCACTTCTGCGGGTGAACTTGTAAATGTTTCCATGCCGGCTTCTGCAGATATTCCTGGACGTCCGCCGAGGAGCGGTGAACCCTTCACTTACTCGATGGAAAAATCCCCTCTGACACACTCATGGGTCAATAGGACTGCAAAATACGTAGCACCCTGCAGTCGCGGATAGGAGCGAGGGAGCGGCGGGGACGTCGGCGAGGCTCTGAAGAAGCCCGCCGCAGGCGCCGATTTTTCGTTAAAACAATGTGGGTAGGTCGCGAGGTGGGTGGCGGCGGGTGGGTCGCAGGTGAGTCACGGGTGGGTCGCAGGCGGGTCGCTGGTGGGTCGCGGGTGCGTCGCGGGCAGGTCGCGGGGTGGGTCGCGGGCTGGGTCGCGGGGGGGACGACGCTAAACAACAATCAACAAACAACGAACGAACAACAACAACAAAAGCAAAAACAACAACAACCAACAACAACACCACCACCACCACCAACAACAACAACAACCACAACAACAACACCAACACCAACAACAGCAGCAACAACAACGACAACGACAACGACAGCAAAAACAATAACAACACCAACACCAACAACAACAATACTAACAACAACAGTCAATTTAAAACTGTTCGCTCTTATCTGCTCGATATTCCAATAACGCGTATGTCCCAAACCCTCGATACCCGCCCTCTTCGTCTTCGATCGAACCCCTTTTGGGGGGTATACCTTTCTTCCCTGCAGGCCGGGCCCCGGCAAGCGGCGGGGCGGCCGCGGACCGTCGGCCTGGCCAGCGGCAGCGCTGATCGGCGGGGCGGCCGCGGACCGTCGACCCGACCCCAAGAGGGACGGACAGGGGACCGACCACGACGACGACGACGACGACGACGACGTCGACGACGACGGCGACGACGACGACGACGACGGCGACGACGAGCGAAAGCGAGAGCGAGAGAGAACGACAGCAGGGCCACGAAGGACACGAAGTAGGCCACGAAGGGCGACAGCGGGGACACGAAGGGAATGCGTATGGGGCCACGAAGAGCGCGAACGAGCGGGGACAAAGAAGGCAGATAATGCGAGGCCACAGAAGGCAACGATGGGGCTACTGAGGGTAGCAACTGGGCCACGTAGGACAGTGAGGGGGCCACAAACGGCGACAGCGGGGCCACGAAGGGCATGCACATGGGGCCACAACGGGCGCGACTACTGGGTGCCTGGGTGTCGGGAGCGCGGCGCTTGAGCAAAATGCAGGATGAAATTCCAACACGGGCGCTGTTCTTCCGCAAATTGCATGCAAGTCTCCAGCGAGAGCGCGACCAGCGCCGGGAGGGCGGTTCCTGGATAACAGTGTCAGGAAGGCCCCCAGCGAGAGGGCGATTCCTCGAGAAAATGCGGGGATGTCTCGGGCGGGAACGGGGGTCCTGGCCAAACTGTGAGCGCGTCTCAGGCGGGAGCCGCTGCTGTAGCAAATCGGAGGCCAGGGGCCCAGGTTGAGCATCACGACTTTCCCTGTCCAAAAAACCAGGGGGCGAGCGTCGAGGGGCCCACTTTGATTGGGAAAAAATAATATTCACCGGCGGGGGGGATCAACAATAATTCTTCTTCAGGAATGAGAATTCAACCACACCAACAGCAGCAACAACAACAGCAACAACAATAACAACAACCATCATGTTAAGACTGTTCGCTCCGATTTGCTCACGTGCCAATCAATGCGTGTATCCCAAACTATCGGTACCCGCCCTCGTCGTTTTCGATTGTACGAGGGAAGAGAAGACGGGTGGAAGGGGAAGGGAGAAGAATGGAGCACGTGAGAAATTAGCAGAAGGGGGCCAAGGAACAGAAAACAAGTGGTAGAACCAGACGGGCAGATCGGGTGGGCAGACCCATAGCGGGCAGATCGGAAGGCGGGTCTAGGCGACCAGGTCGAGCAGTCGGGTTGCTGAAGCGTGGGTCCTGCATGAGTAGCGAGGAAGTCTCGAGCGATAGCGCGATTCCCAAATGGTCTGAATAAACTGCGAGGATGTCCCACGCGAAAGCGCGATTCGTATGAATATTGTGAGGAAGTCCCGCGCGAGAACGCGATTTGGGAATACATTGTAAGGAAGTATCGAACGGGAGGCGTTGGTGTTGTAAACCGGGTGCCAACAACACAATTTGAGCCCTGTGACTTTCTCTGGAAAAAACTGTGTGCGAACCCCAGGAAAGGCACTTCATTTGAAAAATACCAATGGTCACCAGAGGGGAGGAATCAACAATAATGACTCTTCATGCATGAGAGTTCAATAACAACAACAACAACAACATCAACAACAACAACAACAACAACAACATCAACAACAACAACAACAACAACAACAACAACAACAACAACAACAACAACAACATCAACATCAACATCAACAACAACAACATCAACATCAACAACAACAACAACAACAACAACAAAACAACAACAACAAAACAACAACAACAACAACACCAACAACAACAACAACAACAACAACAACAACAACAATAATCCGCACCGCGGAATCCCACTTCAGCCACGCTCCCAGGGACAGTGAATGACCGTTCGGCCCCCTTACTCTGACGTAGGCGCAAAACAACTACTGACGCATCTTCGTCCTCCTGCTTCGCAACCCCGAACTGCTCAACCAAACTCCCAGACTTTGCACGGCAAGCAAGCGTGCTCCGAAGAGAACATGCAGCCCGCTTGTGCCTCATCACTCCTTCTCCCTCCACTCTCCTCCTCCAGCCTCCCTCCCAACCCCCTCTTCTCTTCTACCCTCTTCCCTCTTCTACCATCACCCGCCTCCTCCCTCCTTAATATCACCTCGTGATGGCGTCCACTCCACCCCTCCTCCCTCCTTATTCCCCACCTCCTCCATCACGCATACGTCTCTCACCTCCCTCCTCCTCCTCCTCCTCCTCCTCCTCCTCCTCCTCCTCCTCCTCTTCCTCCTCCTCGCCCTCGTCCTCGTCCTCCTCCTACTCCTCCTCCTCCTTCTCCATTTTTCCCCATACATCCTCCGTCCTCCTTCTCCCCCTGCCTCCTCCTTCTCCATCCTTGTCCTCCTCCCTCACCCTCCCCCGCATCCCTCTTCCCCCGACCACCCCCCTTTTCCAGTACCCCGTGCGCATCACAAGCGTCCGACTCTCTTCTGCAGAGGAGGAGCGGGCGGGGGCATCTCGCTCCGGCTGATGGACGTGATGACCATCTTTGTGACCGCCTACCGCCGAGAAAGGGGCATGCGGAAGGGATCGTGGAGCACACCGTGCCGCGAGCAGAGGAGTCCTGGGGATCCTGAGGATAGGAAGAAGCCGCGCGGTGCTGTGAATGACAGGACAGTTCAAGCAGGTGGGGCAAGATGCGACCTATGGTTCGCCAACGGCAGAGAAGTCCTGGGAATCCTGAGGAGAATGGCAGGACGGTTTAAGCAGGTGGGGCAAGATGCGACCTATGGTTCGCCAACGGCGGAGAAGTCCTGGGGATCCTGAGGATAGGAGGAAGCTTTGCTGCAAATGGCAGGACGGTTTAAGCAGGTGTGACAAGATGCGACCCATGGTCCGCCAACAGCATTCTCTACCCATGCACAGACGCGTGAAGTGATGAGGTGGCGATTGCCGAGGCTGAAAGCTTGGACTCAGTATCCTCCCTGAGCGGCTCGAAGTGACTCTGAAGATGAGGAAGCATAACTGCATTCACGGGAGCGTTGCGCTGAAGTGCCTCGCAACCGACCTTCGGGTGCTGCGCCAACTCTCTCACGAGCTTGTCACCAGCAACGCCCACCTGTCCGGGACTTCGGCACGCGCGAGGGGAGAAACGAGTGGCTAGCAAGGAGACAACATCAGCGCTGGCCTCAATGAGTCCAGAATCATCATGCGGCACAGCTGTCGGAACACTGACTTGGGGGAAGGAAACACTGCACAAACTAAAACAGGGCTAGGATCGGAATAAATCGCTCCAGAGCGTTCTGGAGCGCTCTCAGAGCGTTCCGGAACGCTCTGGAGCGGCCGCGGCGCCCGATACATCCTCCAAACCCGCCGATTCTCAGAGATTTCGAGTTATCCCGATCCGATGTTGTCCCGATTTTCGTGTCGTTCTACAGACATACACCTTGAGAGCTCCGCGCGGATTTCTTGCACCGGCGCTGGAGGCGCCGCCGGGTGGGGCCCAGCGTCGACCCCAAGAGCATGTGCGCACGCCGTCCTCTCCCTCCGTTCGGGCATGGGCAGACCTCCCTTTCGTTAAACGTGGTTCAGTGAAAACGGCCCCGGGCCCAAACCTGGCGGGCGCCAGCCTGGGAAACGACGGCCGCGGCGCCCTCTCGAGAGCCGAACACGGATGACTCACTCATCGACGTGTCAGGGTAGGAGGTCTGTCCACCCCCGATCTGTGGCTGCGCGATGACGCAGCACGACTTGCCCCCCATCCTAGGGGGCCACATGCGAACCCTACCCCTGCCACCCACGACTTCTGAGGGGGAGGGTGGGGGGTTCACTTCGCTCAGAAATCGTCGGGGGTAGGGGTAGGGTTCGCATCTGGCCCCCTACATTTATGTCGGGCGTGTCCCCCTACAGGGGGATTTTCGACGAAAAATAACCCCCAAAATAATCAAAAAATTGTCCAAAAATAGTCGGGGGACTTTTTTTTGAGCATGTTCTGACCTTTTGGGGGTATTTTTGTTGGGGTATGTTTTATCTTTCGTCGAAAATCCTCCTGTAGGGGGACACGCCCGACACAACCCTGCATCCTACTCCGCTCCTCCTGCTCTTCGGCAGTGCTGCACGGCACCGTCTGGGCACTCGTGCCGGGCGGCGCCTCCTTCGCCGCCCCGCCGGGCACGGCCGCTCGAGCGGCCGGGGTCTCCGCAGACGCTGGGCCGTAACCCTTTACCAGCCCGGAACACATCCCTATCCCTATGCTGGGCATCTCCCCATCACGATGCCAATCTTAGGGACTCCCTTATTTTTTGAGGGCGCATCCCTAAGATTGTCATCGCCTCTTGGCGTATCAATATTAGGGATAGGGATAGGGACAAGTTCGAGGCCGGTAAACCCTGGCAGCGCAGGGGAGCACAAGCTGCCTGCGCACGAGCCCTCGGAGCTCCGCGCGCAGCTCCGAGAGTCTTGGCGGTGGACACACCTCCCTTTAGCCAAAACTCCCCTCAATGAAAACGACCTGGGGCCGAAATCGACGGACCTGGACCCGCAAAAATGGGGGGAAAACAAACCTACCTCGCTTTTGACCACCCTCGCTTCCAAGAGATACCAAACGATGCCAAACTGCAGCCTGTACTGGTCAGGCCGCTTGATGGGGAGGCGCGTGGTATGGCTTGGTTTTGCCTGGAAGCGAAAGCGGGGTAGGTAATTCACGCTCTGAAAAAATGACGGCCGCGACGCCCTCTCGCGAACCGAAGGCGGCCAACTCCTTCATCGGCGTGTCAGGGTAGGAGGTTCCACCTCCGAGAGTTCATGCTTCTGCCATTGGATTGTCCTCGGCAACGCAACGCGAAGAGACTACGCAAGCATGCTCTTCTTCCCGCTCCTCCCTTCTCCTCCTGATCCGGCCTCCTTCTCCTCCTCCGGCGCCTCCTTACACTCCTTCTCCGTCCCTGGCTTCACATCCTGCTTGTCATGTTAGAAGCCAAACACACAAATGTGAGTGGAAGATGACAGAAATTGCCAGTGAATACCTGAAGCAAATCAATGTGAAACATGTTGTATCGATGGCAATGCAATCTGCGCGACGACTGCGACATCTTCTTGAATCCGTTACCACTGCTTGCCGCGTTGCCTTCACGTCGATGACGCCGGACATCGAACTCCGCTCCATCAAGGTGGGGAACACCTGCTGACATTCTGGACAAAATCGCATTGACGACCCCATGGTAGCTCATGATCTCATGAAAGAAAATGCTCCTCTCTCACTGTCGCAACAAGAAGACTGCAAGTGGTGTCCCGCCTGATCTGCCGGCCCCCTTGCGGGGCCATCAAACTGCGGGGATTAGGCTTGCTGATCCCTTACGTTGCATCTTCGGGGGGCCTTGTCTGTCCCATCGCGCCACTATCCGTGTCGAATCTGTGCCAAATCCGTTTCAAGCGACAAATGCGCCTCGAACCCACGCCGAAACCACGTCGAATCAGCGTCGCATCCGGGTCGGGTACAGGAACAGCGGCAGCAGCTTACATGACAGACGAAAGATCCCCCGAAGATGCATCGTAAGCTCTCTGCTCCAGCTCCAGTTCCAAATCTTCCATGTTATAGTCCTACGTTCTACTTCCTATCTCGGGGATGGAAATAGTCCCCTCTAGTAAAACGTGGTTCAGTAAAAACGACCTCGGGCTCGAAACCCGCGGCCGCGGCGCCCTCTCGAGAACCGAAGACGGACAATTCACTAATCGACGTGTCAGGATGGGGGTTCTGTCCAACCCCGACTATCGTCAATCCCACCAGCCCTCAGGGCGTAGGTGGTCTAGCGTGCCTTGTCTTCCATCTGCCCCTCTCCCCTTTCGGGGAGAGGCGTGCCCTTCCCCCTACCCCCTCCCCTGAACCTGGAGGGGGCGTCCCGCGAGGGGTTGAAGCGTCCAAGATGGCCCAAGATGGCTCCAAGAGCGCCTCGGAGAGCCCAAGATGAAGCGCCCCAAGAGTGCCGGACCCAAGAGGCGCCCAGACGGCCCAAAGAGGCGCCCAAGATGCCTCCAAGAGGCCCCCAACAGGCTTCAAGAGGGTCCCCGAGGCGTTCCAAGGTGCCTCCGAAGCACTCCCAAGAGACATCCGAGAAGGCTCTGATGTTCGTCCTTTTTCCTCCTCCTCCTCCTCCTCCTCCTCCTCCTCTTCCTCTTTTTCCTCCTCCTCCTCCTCCTCCTCCTCCTCCTCCTCCTCCTGCTCCTCCTTCTCCTCCTCCTGCTCATCCGCCGCTCCTCCTCCTCCCTCCTCCCTCCTCTCCCTCCCCCACCTCGGATGGCCTCCCCTGTGCATCGTCTCTGGGCGGGCAGGCGGGGACACGGGAAGCGACGACAATTGTTACGGACCGCGCGAGGGCGCGGTGCCCCGGACGAGCAGCTTCGGGCGCCCCCAGGGGCGCGCGCGCGGAGCTCCCGCGGGGCCGCGGGGCACGCAGAGCTGCACGAGGCGGGCGGCCCCGAGGCCTCGACCCCTCGCGGAGTGCACCATGCCCGAGCCCACGGGGCCACGATCCGTCGCAACGGTGCGCGGCGGTCGCGCCCCCGCGGCCACGATGCCTCGCAGCCTGCCGTCCTGCGCGCCCCCGCCGCTGCGACCCTTCTGTAGACTGCACCGCGTTCGTGCCCCCGAGGCCACGCTCCCCTGTGAAATTCTTTTGTGCGCTGGGGGGCCCCCGAGGCCACGGCCCCGTGCACGCGGTGCGACGTCCGCGCCTCCGAGGCAGGGCTCCCTCGCAGACTGGCGCGCTCGTCGCGCCCCCGAGGCCACGACCCTTCGTACAAGCTGCGCCAGCGCCGCGTCCCCGAGGCCAAGGACCCTTTTGCAAACCACACCGTGTTGGCGCCCCCGAGGCCACGACCTTACCAGCCTGGAACACATCCCTGTCCCTATGCTGGGCATCGCCCCATCGCGATGCCAATCTTAGGAATTTCCTCGGATCTTGAGGGCGCATCCCTGAGATTGCCATCGCCTTTCGGCGTGTCAATCTTAGGGATAGGGATAAGCTCGAGGCTGGTGAACGACCCCTTTCGCAGGTGGTGCAATCGCCACGTCCCCGAGGGAGCGCGATGCCTCGTAAGTTAATTACGGTGCTCTCGGGTTCCTTTCCGTGGAGTGTGAAAATGTCGCGCCTCCGAGGCCACGGTCCTCTGTAAAGCACGCGGGAACCGAGTCTCCAAAGCCACGACCCGTCGTAAGTCACGCAATGCTCTCGACCCCGAGGCCACGACCCCTTGTTGTCTTGTGCAATGTTCGCGTCCCCGAGGCAACGATCCCTTGTAAACTATCCCATGTTCGCGTCCTCGAGGCCACGATCATGTTCGCGTCTCCGGGGCAACGATCCCTTGGTAAACTATCCCGTGTTTGCGTCCTCGAGGCCACGATCCCGAGTAAAAGAGTAGCATTCGCGTCTTTGAGGCAACGGTTAGTATAACACATTCGCGTCCCTGAGACCACGATCCCTCGTAACGTTCGCATTGCTCGCGCTCCCGAGGCCACGACCCCTTCTTGTAGTATACAATGTTCGCGTCCCCGAAGCCACGATCCGTCGTAAAGTACGCGATCGTCAAGCCACGATCACATCGCGGCAACCTTCCCGAAGAGCTGGCCGAGATCCGCGAGTGCATGCGGACACACGGCCCAGTTGCACTGGGGCATGCCGAGGCCGACCATGTAGAGATGTGCCTGGCGGTACCTCTCGAGTCCACCAGCCGCCTCCGCCCGCCCCCGACCCTCGTACCCTGCTGTGGGGTGATTGGGATTCGAGCTTGGGCTCCTGGGGAACGGTGGCGTTCACGGACGGCTCTGGGCTCATGTCGATCGGGAGCGGCCAAGAGGGGGGTGTCCAAGAGGGGGGGGTGCAAATCATGACCGGCGGCATGTGCGCGGCCCCGCGGGGGGGGCCTGGGACGCAATGAAAGAAGAAGAGGCGCCATGAAATCTGGGGAACAATCATGGCCCGCGCCATGAAATCCACCCCCCCCTAGTCATCACCCCCCTCTTTTCCGCTCCCGAGTCGAATAACCCTGCCCTCAGAAAGCGCGGGCGGCTGGCTGCGTGGTGCCGGAGGGGGGCCCCTCTCTCCGCGCAGCCTCCTCCTCCTCCTCCTCCTCCTCCCTCCTCCTCCTCCTCCTCCTCCTCCTCCTCCTCCTCCTCCTCCTCCTCCTCCTCCTCCTCCTCCTCCTCCTCCTCCTCCTCCTCCTCCTCCTCCTCCTCCTCCTCCCCTCTTTTCCGCTCCCGAGCCGAATCACCCTGCCCTCAGAGAGTGCGGGCAGGGAGGCTGCGTGGTGCCGGAGGGGGGGGCCCCTCTCTCCGCGCAGCCTCCGGAGAGGCCTGCCGGACAGACGGCCGGGAACGCCGAGCGCTGGGCCGCTTTTCGGGGCCAGACAGCCTAGGAGGAGGAGAAGGGGGAAGAGGAGGGGGAGGAGGAGGAGGAGGGGGGAGGGGGGGGGATGAGGATGAGACGAGGACGAGGAGAGGAGGAGGAGAGGAGGAGGAGGAGGAGGAGGAGGAGAGGAGGAGGAGGAGGAGGAGGAGGAGGAGGGAGGGACGAGGAGGAGGAGGAGGAGGAGGAGGAGGAGGAGGAGGAGGAGGAGGAGGAGGAAAAGAACGAGGAGAAGCAAGGAGGAGGAGGAGGAGGAGGAGGAGGAGGAGGAGGAGGAGGAGGAGGAGGAGGAGCTCATGGTGTGGGTTTGGGCTGCACCGGTGGCCGAGGGCACTGGCTGGTCCCCGTGCCCTGCGCGAGGCACGGCCGGGCATTCTCTCTCTCTCTCTCTCTCGCGCTGGCCGAGCGACAGCAGGTGCCCAACGCCGTCGTCTGCGTGGGTGCCCTCGCCGTCGTTTGAGCTCGAGGATGCGCCCTTCGACCTGGGAGTGCCCTTCCTGTGGGTCCTCGGCAACGCGTGGGCAGGTCACTGTGCCAAGGCTGGGGCCTCCGAGATCGCAGTTCCAGAGGGTCTTGCGGAGGCGCACAAGGTCGGGAGCGGCCAAGAGGGGAGGGTCCAAGAGGGGGGGGTGCAAATCATGACCGGCGGCATGTGCGCGGCCCAGCGGAGGGGCCAGGGACGTAATGGAATGAGAAGAGGCGCCATGAAATTTGGGGAAACATCATGGCCCACGCCATGATATCCACCCCCCCCCTAGTCATCACCCCCCTCTTTGCCGCCCCCGAACAAGAGGGCGCTCAAAGCGGCGAAGCTTTTCTCGAAGTATGTTTCTTGGGCAGTTGCCCACAGAGTCGAATTAGTTGAAGCAGCTGAGTCAGAGGTACTCCCTCCGCGGCCTACCAGGCCCCCCACCGCTGTCCAATCTGTCAGCGTCACGGGCCACGGCCTTTGTCGGGTACAGTCCAAAGGTGAGGTCCGCTGCAGGTTTTGCAACATGGCGGCGCGCACGAAGCGCACCTGCGAGAACATGCTCAGCACGCGTGCAGAGAAAGACGTGCGCGCCGTCGGAGTGCCAGCGTGCTTCGGCTGACAGTTATTTTAGCCAGCTCAGTGCTGGCGATGCGGTTGCTTGGGAGGCGCCTTTTCTGTCGTCGATTGGCATGGTCGCGATGCCCAACGGCTCCTTCGCGGCGGTGCCACCGTTGCCCGCCCCGCCTGTGGCCTCCTCGTCCGCCCTGGACATCTTCCATGCCATGGGGCACGAGTGTGTTCAGAACGGGCTAGCCTATTGCTGCCATCGCTGTGGGGCTTATCAGGTGGGGGCGGGCAACGCCAAGAATTTGCGAGCTGCTTGCAAAGGGGTGCCCAAGTCCAAGAGCTCCCTGGCGGGGGCGGCCATGCGCGTTCGGAGAATTCTGGCTGGCCGCCATCCTGTCTCCAATGTGGCCCTCTACGACGGGGGGGGCCCTTTTTATCCTGCTCCTGCCCGTCCCACTTGGGCGCAGTGCGGGAGCGGCGGGGCCCTCCAGGGCGCCCTCGGAACCCGGAAGTCATGTTCCCGGAAAGGCTTCCGGGAACATGATTTCAAACGGGGCCCTATTGGGCCTCCCTGAGGCCGTCTGGTTGGGCCTCCTGGGCCGGCTTCGGGACCTCTGGGGCCGTCTCGGGGGGTTCGGTGAGCCCCACAGGCCGACCCTTTTGGGCCGTTATGGGGCATCTTGGGGCCTCTCTGGGGTCTCTGATGGTGGCATTTTTAAACCTCTTGGGGCCTCTTGGGGGCCGATTGGGGGCCGATTGGGGCGGAAATCTCCATTGTCGGTTCGTGTTCCCCCTCTTTGGCACCTCTTGGGGCCGTCTTGAAGCCCTCCTGGGCCGTCTTGGGCGCCTCTTGGACCGTTTGGGCGCCCTCTTGGGCTGTCTTGGGGGCCTCTCGGGGGCCGTCTTGGGGCGATGTTCGAGGCTTCCTCGGCAATCCTGGGAGGTCAGAAGCCCGAACGCGCGGGCAAGCAAAAAACATGAAAAACAGCATGAAAATCTATGATTTTAGCCTCTTGGAGCTCTCTTGGAAAGCCTCTCGGAGCGCCCCTGGGGCTTCTTGGGGGCCGCTTGGGCCTTGATGGGGCTATCTTGAAAGTCTTGGAGCGCTCTTGGGCCGTCTTGGCGGCTTCTTGCCGTCCCCGGAAGCCGTGGTGGACGCCTCAGGGGGCGCAGAAGAGCCTCCTGAGGCCCAGGGGCAAAGTGGGTTACGGGGGGGGGGGGGATTCGGGAGGGCGTCCCGGCCCGGAGCCCTGGCCCCCGGCACCCCGGCATATGATGCACCTCCCGACGAATCCCCAGCATCGGTGGCGGCGGCAGGCGACCGCGCGCTCTTCCAACCTCGGCGGAGACTCCAGGCGCTAGCCCGATCAATGTCTTCCTTTCGAAGCAGGCGATGCTCTTGGCAGAACAGAATATGCACATCGGCCCCGTCAATGACGTTGCGCATCCCCCCCCCCCCCGCGAGTTGCAACTGACGGTCCGAATCCTGAGCGGCGCGGCGTCATGGACAGGCGCGCTCGCAGACGCTGGGCTTAGGAGACCGAGCTTCATCTGCCCGAACATCCGGGCCAGAAGAGCACGCCCACTTGCGCCCTGACCAGAGACCGAACGCTCCGAGCAAAAGGTGGGGACTGAGGAAGCGGCCTGATCCACCGGCGTCTCAGGCCACCCGAGGCAGCTGTCCTCCAAGGCAAGACCCCCCACAAACTGCGGCGCCGAGGTAGGGGCCGGAAGCGGGGGCCTGATCGGCGCGGCGCGACAAGGGGCATCTTTGGCCAGCGAAGCCAGTGGATATACATCCGAAGGACGAGCGAAACACATCGGTGCCCGGCGCCTGTGAAAAGTTGCGGCGACATTCACGCCGCCGCCCGTCTGGCCGATCGCCGTGCCAGCGCGATCGAGCAGCGAGCGCCATCGGGCTGAAGGCCTGCGCTGCTGAATCCAATTAGTCCTCGAGCGTGCTGAGCTGCGAGGGGAAGAGGCGAGGAGGGTCGGGATGCCTCGATAGCGCCAGAGCGCCACTTTGTGCCGCCGAGCGGTTGTGGACAGGATAAAAAGTTCCGCTTCCCCCCATGGAGGTCAGACCTGGAAATGCCCCCCACCAAACCGAAGACGCAGACGCACAGGGCCCCGAGGGAACACAGGCCGAGGTCCCAAGGTCCAGGCAAAAGATGAGACTAGGCTCCTCCAGGGGGGGCTTGATCAGAAGTGGCGCCGGCAATCCTGTCAGCTCGCGCGCGCGCAGACGAAGGCGCCTGAGCTCTCGTCGCAGTGGCTGGCGCCGGCCGCAGCAGGCCGAGAAGTCGGAGAGGCCGCCGTGGGCGCCGACGCTGAAGATGAGTCTTCGCGGCCCGCTGGCGCAGGCGAGGCGGCGGGCTCGGGGCCAGCGGCCGCCGAAGTCTGAAGCGTCTGCGAAGGAGGCGGGCTGCCTCCAGCCAAGCCTTTGCCCTCCTCGTCGCGGCGCCCCTTCTTGGCCGCCATCCGCTGCGCCGGCCGCCTGCGCCACCCCTTGGGTGCGCCGGCCTTCGACTTGGCCTCCGCGAGCAGGTTGCGCGCCACGTCGGAGATGCCACTCTTGCACTGCCCCACCCTGGCCGAAAGCTGCTCCTCCTCCTCCTCCTCCTCCTCCTCCTCCTCCTCCTCCTCCTCCTCCTCCTCCTCCTCCTCTGCTGACACAGAGGTCTTCGTCCGCGACTGCGAAGCATTCGCCCGCGCCCAGGTCGAAAGCCGCTGGGAACCGCTGCTCGTCATGCAAGGCCCCCAGACAAGGCTGGCTCCCAGCTGGCGCTTCTGGGGGCAGAGCAGCAGGTCCAGGCAGTTCGTCGCGTAGTCGACGTACCAGCGCTCCGCGTTCACTTTCGGCTTCCGCGAGCTCAGCACGAAGAAGCAGAAACTGTGACCGCTGAGACTTGAACGGGCCCCCCAGCTGCTCGAACCTGTTGACAGCGCAATTGGGGCGCTTCTCCACACCACGAGCCTTTTGATGCGCGCGGTTGAACTGGACCTGGATGGGCACCAAGGGAGTAGCTGGAGCTTGCGCTGCCGCCGCCGCCGCCGTCCTGTGGGCCTTCGCGCCCAGCAGAAATCCCAGCTTCCCACATGGCCCTGTAAGCACTCCTCAGCAAAGAGTGGTGCAGCGCAGTCGGTGGAGCCCCTGCCGCCGCTTGCGGCCACTCCTTTGACACCTTTGCCACCTCCACCCAATGTGGTCACTGAAGAGCTCGAGCGGCTTGCCCGAGGACCATGACGAGGAAGACCATACTGAGTCACCCTTGGGTGCACCGCAGTGTTTTCAGAAATAGTAACGACCTTCATTCTCCTTGCACCCGCACCAGCAACATGTCCAGCGCTGTGTGTGGACGCCTGCAGGGGCGCCAGCAGCACCGCTGTCACGAGTAGCACCCAGAAGACCAGGCACGAAAAGGGGCCAGACATTCGGATCATCTCGCTTCTGCGGTCGCCCTGCACCGGGACGGCCCCCTCCTCCATCAAGATGAGACGATTGAGAACCAGTTGCGACGCCATGGCGCCCATGAGAGACGGCGTTTCCCGCCATCGCCTTTGCCCACCATGACGCAGCGAGAATCGTGGTCAGGACAAAGCTCCAGCATGAGCTGACAAATGAAAATGCGCGGGTTGAGATCCCGCAGACTGACTGTAAAAGAAACCAAAGCCAATCAGGCCCGCAGCAGCTGTGTGCCGTTCTGAATACAAGCTGTTGCAAGCGCAGGCGGAAAGCCTGAGTCAGAACGGTTCTTGAGCCACAGTGGCTACGGAAAAAGGTGGAGGAGGGGGAGGAGGAGGAAGAGGAGGAGGGCGACCCCCTCGCCCTCCAACTTACGGTGGTGGTGCTGGAAAACAGACCCGTTCCCCTGTGGGTGCGGGGTGATGCGGCGCTGCCCATGGGCGCTGGAGGCACCGCCGCCGGGAGGGGGGGGGGCCGACGCCGACCTAACAGAAATAACATCCACGTGGACCTCCGACAGTGAATGCTTACGCCGCTTCCTCCACCATTTCCCAACATGTACCCTTTTTCGTCCTCGCCCTCTTCGCCTTTGCGTTTTCTTCGTCATCGTCTTATCATACTCCTCTTCGCCCATCCCCTACCATCGCCCGAGTGTTCCCCGTCCTCTCCCCCTGCGGCCGCCAGCCTTTCCCAGCCCCATGTTGATGTCCAGCCCGGACAGCGACGGCGCGAGCTTCGACACGGCGGTCTGGCGGGAAGTCCGCGGGGGCAGCGGGAGAAGAGGAGCCGTGCGGGCCCCCGAACGCCCCCTGCCCCTCAGGGCTTACGTATGGGGGCCGCCCCTGGGGTGTCTTCGTGGGAGCGAGCATCTAGGCCTCCCAGATGGAGGATCGCGCCGCATCGCCGCTGCATCGACGATGGGGCTCGATGTGGAGCCCGTGTTTTCCCACACCCACTCGGACCCCACCTAGGAGGACTCTAGAGGAAGGTCTGTTCGGCCCGATCAATTGCCATAAGCTGGACTAAACCCGCATCGTCCCCGGATTCCTTTCTTAAGAAGAAGATGGGAGTAAACACTGAACGATCCGCTGCTCCTCACGGGGGCTATGCACGCTTCCGTCCACAAGCCGTTGCACCCCCGACGCAGCGGCAGTGCACTAAAGTGGCCTGCCGGGTTAACGTCACCATGATGCAGCCAAGTGGAGAGGGCTCTTCAACATCGGTTATCGTGCCAGCGCCGCTGCTGCATCTGACATGCCAGAGTGGCAGCCGAGCGTCTCTTCTCAAAGTCGAACGCTTCAAAGATTAGCCGCCGCCGCGATTGCACCGGTTGCGGCGGTTGATGCGAGTCAGGCCTTTCCCTTTTTGTAGTAGCTTCGGTCCGTAGGGAGGATGAGGAAGAGGAGGAGGAGAAGAAGCAGAATAAGAAAAAGGATGGATGCATCCTCGTTCTTCTCCTGCTCCTCCTCCTCCTCCTCCTCCTCCTCCTCCTCCAATTCTTCCTCCTGCTGAGGTGGGAGTCTCCAGAGGTACCTGGCTGGAGGCCCCGGGAGGTCCGCGGACACAACTGGCATCCCCATGCCCCCAACCCCGTGGCGCCCGCCCGAGCGCGGTGGCGGGGCCGCGTGGCAACGCCAAGGGGTGCCGTGACCCACGCGCCGATGGCGCCTGTGGCGTGTGCGCTTTTCGCTGGCGCCCCTCCCTCCCCCTAGGAAGAAACAAACAAACTCCCAGTGATGGGCCGATTTCCCAGCACCACTACCAAGGTAAGACGGGGGAGAAGGGCGGATGGGGAGGTCCTCTCCCTCCTCCTCTTCCTCCTCCTCCTCCTCCTCCTCCTCCTCCTCCTCCACCTCCTCCTCCTCCTCCGCCTCCGTCTCCGCCTCCTCCTCCGCCTCCGCCTCCGGCTCCTCCTCCTCATCATCCTCCTCCGCCTCCGCCTCCTCCTCCTCCTCCTCCTCCTCCCTCCTCCTCCTCCTCCTCCCCCTCTCCTCCCCCTCCTCCCCCTCCTCCCCTCCTCCCCCTCCTCCTCCTCCTCCTCCTCCTCCTCCTCCTCTTCCTCCTCCGCCTCCTCCTCCTCCCTCCTCCTCTTCCTCTTCCTCCGCCTCCTCCACCTCCTCCTCCTCCTATTCCTCCTCCTCCTCCTCCTCCTCTCCTCCTCCTCCGCCTCTTCCTCCGCCTCCGCCTCCTCCGCCGCCGCCTCCTCCTCTTCCTCCTCCGCCTCCACCTCCGCCTCCGCCTCCGCCTCCGCCTCCGCCTCCGCCTCTCCTCCTCTTCTTCCTCCTCCTCTCCCCCTCCTCCTTCCTCCTCTTCCTCCCTCCCACCTCCTCCTCCTCTTCCTCCTCCTCCTCCTCCCTCCCTCCTCCTCCTCCTCCTCCTCCTCCTCCTCCTCCTCCTCCACCTATGGTAGTGGTAGTGGAAAATCGGCCCATCACCCAGAGCGCCGTCACCGATGAAGGCTCGACGTTTAACGAACAAGCTGTTCAGGACCCTCTTATGGTGTCCTCCCAGCCTCCTGGCCCGCCCGGACAGGGGGGGCAGTGGGAGCGACGCCCAACATTGAGTAGGGACCGACCGCCCCGGCATTCCTTTAGGCCTACCACGACATGTTCGTAGAACCCTATGATTTTCTAGAACAAGAGCAATGCTCGTAGAACATAAGCCCGATGTGGGGAAACAAGACAGTCTCAGCCAGACATGCTCTCAGAGCACTTCGTGCAGACCACAAGAGGTTCTTAGAAAACTCCTTGGTGGGCCTATAGGCACGCCAGGGCGCCTCGTCGCCACTGCTGGACAACAGCCAACAGCAAGTCTGCCCCAGAGCCGACACCGGCCGCTGTTGGGAAGGCGATGGACTACGCCCGCGGCGACACCGACGGCGAGCCCTGTTCAAAATGGGCAAGAACTGCTGCCGGTCTTCGACCCCGTTCTTTTCGTCCCCATGCCGATCGAACAGAACCGCTCAACCTCGAGCGCCCAACCTTCGTGAAAACGACCTGCGACCTGGCCCCGCGGGCGCAAGGCCGCAAAAACAGCAGGCGCAACGTCCTCTCGAGAACGGAAAAACGGCACTTCGCTGGTGGACTTGGCAAAGCAGGGATCTATCAACATCTGGTCCGTCCTCCTTCCCCGTGCACCTCCTCCATGACCGCGCGTGCTCGCAGGGGCCCCGCGCTGCCCAGCTGCCGAAGGAGGACGAGGACAGGACGAGAGGGCGTGGAGGAGCACGAGTGAAATTAACAGAGCCAGACACGTCAGCGGGCCTCGCCTCCCCCCCCCCCTCCAGGCCTCCCCCCCCCCGAGAACATAATTATGTGTGCGGCACAGCTTGGCATTGGGACTAGACCGCGATCGCGCCGAGCGAAACGGGGGTCCCTGGCGCGCGGTCCCGCTCCCGACGACTCGGCGGAGGGACAGCCACGCGGGCCGCGCAGAGGCCAGAGCGCGGCGCTGCGCCGGAACACACAACTGAACCCTTCCCCTGGCGGCCGGGCTTCTGATGATCGTGGCAAAGTCGAAGCATGGACCGCGCAGAAATAGCCTCGCCACATTCACTCACATGGTGCGCTTCGATGGGGTGAGAGCAACATTTCCCCAGGCCTGGCGCGCGCGGTCGCGCTGCTGGTGCCGGTCCCCGATGCTCCTCAACGAGCGAAACATGCGCCGCGCCGACGCGGGGTCACCATGTCCAAACGGAACGCATACTCCAGATGTCGTACCATTCAAAGGGGGAGGGTCACAACCCTCCAAGACGAGCACTTCAGACCCCCCAACAGACCAATCAGGAAAGGGCGGCCTTGCGCCCAGACCCCCCGGAACCATCCAGGACAACAGTAATCAGCGGCCTGCAGTGTAGGTGCCGCGGGGGCACCGCAGGGTGGCGCCGGGCGCCGCTAGTGGCAAAACAATGCGACAACTACAAGACTCGATACATCAAATGGTCTGGAAGAAGGACAGGGAGGGGGGGAAGGAGGCAGACAACAGTGATCAGACCTCTCCCAAATCGGACCACCCCACTGTACTGGGCAATCTGGAGTGCGCAGCTCGGGCAAGAGCGCAACACGCCGCTTGCCCTCGCGGGGCCCGAAAACTTGGCCAATGATAGACTGGATAGTCGAAGCCAATCTGGCGCCAATCTGGCAGGCCAAATCTGGCAAACGGGGGCAATCTGGCGAGGGAGCCAGCGCGAATCCAGTCTGGCGAATAACCCAAACCCTCCAACATGGCCAGGCCAGACTGGCCCTTGGGGCCCAATCCAATCTGACAGTCTGGCCTTCGACTACCCAGATAGAGATACACGCCACGCCAGAGCGGGAGCGGCACTTTCGGGCGAACTCTGCGCGGCGCCGACCACAGAGCGACAGGTTCGTTCGCTCGAGCGCCGCGCCCGAGCGGGAGCTCAGCTCTAGGAAAGACGAGCGCGGCGCCGTGGGGCGAGAGCCACACGCTGCTCCTCTCGCGCGCGCTCCGCGCGCTCCGATCCACTCCTGCCACGCAGTTGCGCACGGTGAAGGGGGAAAACCTTGACTTCGCGTTGCACCTGACGAGCAGGATGGCACACACCAGATGCAGTGGCTGCCGGCGGGCCCGGCGGCAAACGGGGAGTCCGCTCGACTAAAAGAGTAGGGATGGGAAGGAGAAGGATCGGAGAGTGGGAGGAAAAGGAGCCGAACGAGGCGGGGGGTCGGAGGCGACCCTCTTTTGGTCACGCCCGTCTCGCGTTCGGGTCTTAACTCGAGTCTCTGGCGGACCTTCGGGACGGTTCGGGCACTCCCGTCACGCCCTGGAAAAAAAACCATGCCAAGAGACACCCTGCTTGGTCCAGGGTGCCCTGGGTGTCTTGGGTTTCGATGTTTTGCGATGGACAGCGTGACACTCCTATACCAAAAATCATTGGACGTCCTGGGGTCTGAGGGGTGGGTTTCTTGTGGAAGGTTTCTTGTGGTCGAGCTCCTACTGGACTGCCAACGACCGACGACAACGCTTGAAGACTTCAAACTTCGTCCCAACGCCCCCTCTCCCCTGCCAACACTACGTTGGAGCCATGGTGTGAAGCCGAGTGAGGCGCGTGAGCATGAGCATGTTTGTGGGGCGCCGATCCATGACCACTCTGACGACTGCAGCGCTGCAGACCTGCAAACGAAACAAGCCATGGCAAGAGAAGCCAAGTGGAGGAGGAGAAGGAATGAGGAGAAGGAGGAGGAGGAGGAGGAGGAGGAGGGGGAGGGTTGGAGGAGGAGGACGACTGAGGGATTGGACGAGGGCCCTCGCTCCCTCCCCACAGAAACCACCCGCACTCGCAGCGTCGTTCCGCCCGTCTGCCAGAGCCAGTAAGCGGCCATGGGCGACTACGAAGGGTGTGGTTTGCAAAGAATGCCCCTTGCCACCCGCACCCTGCGGGGCGGGCGAGGACCACGAAAGAACTCTCTGGCGCGCCCCGAGGAGGCCCGACGAAGGCAACGCGGTGCACCCCAAGCCCCAACCGACGCAGATCGCGAACCACGCCCCGGCGCAACTAGAAGTAAGTCGGGCGTGTTCCCTTACAGGGGGATTTTGGGCGACAACTAAAGAATACTCAAGAAATATCCCCCAAATGGACAAACGCAGTCAAAAGATCGTCCCCAGACACTTCTTTAACTATCTTTGAGTATTCCTCCTGTAGAGGGGACAGGCCCGACTTAAAACTAGAAAAAAAACGGCATAAACATAAGCTGTTGGAGGTGCGCGCGGATTTCTTAGATTTGCGCCGGACTCCCCTCCCTGGCGCGCGGAGCCGGGGTCGGCGCCGCAGGCGCCGCCGGCGGGGCCCAGCGCGGATCCAAAAAATCCGCGCGGAGCGCAAAAAATCTAGGTATATGGCAATGTGCTTCTTCTTCTTCTTCTTCGACCGGCGCACGGTCGGGGCGTTGACCCAAGGAACCCCAATAAAGGAACGAGGCCCCTTTTTCCCACAAGTTAATCTTCGATCTTCCCATCGCAAACCTCAGGAAAACCTGAGGCAAACTGTGAAACAATGACAGAACGCGGAGCCTCCCCCCAACGAGAAGGGTTCCCTATTCAGCGCCCCGACTGCAACCACACCCCTGGCCATCGCTCGGACGTCCATTTCCTGTGTTTTTGTTTTCGGTTTCGTGCGTGGTTTCTTCGCCAAATGGTCAAGAATGCTCCTCGATGGGCCTCGCCGAAGGAAAAATGCACACGTCCGAGCGATGCCAAGACCCTGTGTAGTCGCCAGGGACAGCCCCCCGGAAGCGGCGGAGGCGGGGGCCTGGCAGAGCTCCACCGCGCACAGGAAGACCGACCGGTCCGCGCCCACTGGGCTGCCGAGCACCTCGCAGGTGCGCCCGGGGTGGGGGGCTCCTCCTCCTTCCTCCACAGCAATTAAAACATGGCTAGGATCGGGATAAATCGCTCCAGAACGCTCTGGAGCGGCCGCGGCACCCAATACATCCTCCAAACCCGCCGATTCTCAGAGGTTTCGAGTTATCGCGATCCGATGTTGTCCCGATCTTCGCGTCGTTTTAGCAATGAGGGGGGAAGAACTGCATCGATGACAGCAGTTGCCCGACCACAAGAAACTCTCGCGAGAAACCCGACCCTGAGACCCGTGGACGTCCATGGCTTTTTGGTGTGGGAGCGTCGCGCGTTCTATCGCAGAGCCATCGAAACCCAAGAGACCCAGGGCACCCTGGAGGCAAGCAGGGTGTTTCTTGGCATGGGCCCCCACTGTACACCCTTGCTGCAGATAGCCCTGAACAGCTTTCAACGTGGGCCAGAGAGGGCCGCATAGACGGAGACACCTGGAGTGACCGCAGCATGTAATATCAAAGTATAGTATGGTCGAGAAGTATGTATCGGTGCATGTGTTCCTGTATGATATGATGTGGTATAGCTCTTCATCTCTATGGAGACAAATGACAGCACAGTCTTGTCTGGTAGATCATGAGGCACTCCTGTAAACATGTAGCAAGCACGTAGAAAGAAATAAAGGCTCACCGCTCTTACACTAAGGCGGATGCGATAATTAGTTCGTGTACGAATGATAACGAATATCTTGATGTGAGGTATTGTGCTGGCACTGGCTCGTAGACGGCTGCTACTATCAACGCTAGCCTTCACATGTGCATTAGCTGCTGTACTCGATCTTATGATGGCAATACGGCTACACGTCCTAGCATTACGAGTGTGAGCGCTGATGGGATAGAATAGGGATAAGGATGCATGGCGAGGTATATTGAGACATCACACAATGTTGTGGACGGGATAGAGGGCAGCAACGGGAGTCAACGGGAGAGCAGGGGACAATGGGAGACAACAAGAAACAACGGGAGACAATGAAAGACAACAGGTGGCAACTGTCGACAACGGGAGACGACGGGCGACGACCCGAGACAATGGGCAACAACGGGAGACGACGGGCGACAACAGAAGACAATTGCGCCCTATTCACTCCACATCACAGTCGCTCCGTACCCAGTGTCTGAAAATCGACAAGCGCACTCCATTACTCGCAAAGTTACTACTCGCAAATGGCCTGGCTCCGCCAAGGGGGATTTGCGATCGATGAAATCGAGATAGACGTTTGGTGTTCGGACGTTTGCGAGTAGGCACTCTGCGAGTAGTGGAGCGCGCTCGGTAATAAAAGCACTGTACGGGAACCGTAAGAGACAAGCTATTTAGAGAAACGTGAACTTCCAGAGGTCCGCGCGGATTTCTTGGGTCGGCGATGGCCGGCGCGCTGCGCGGGCAGGGAGAGAGGGTCCCAACGTCGACCCAATAGATCCGCACGCACCTCCAAAAGCTTCCCAGACAGTGCTTGCACTTGAGGGTTCTTGCTTGGCTTACAAGGAGGTGGGCATGGGTGTCGGTCCGGCTGGTTTGCTGCCACCCCGTCGCCGCTCGTCGCCGCCGTTGGTTCTGGGCATGGGTGCTGGTCGCTGCGACTGTTGCCGCCCGTCGCCGACCCGTTGCCGCCGCCCGTCATCGCCGCATTTTGGTTGTAATTTTGATGGTGGGAGCCTCGTAAGCTCTCCTGTCTGAACAGGAACGGTCGCCAGCGGGGACCCCAAAAACGTGTGCGTCTAGCAATCTAGGTTGCGGAATCTATGTGATGCAATTCATGTTGGTTCGCACTGGGTTGTCAACTCCACTGCTCGCACAATTTTCCGACTCACCCACCAGCAACTTGGTCTGCAAAATCCATGGGGCGCTAATTGTGATGCCTGCCTGGCTCTGGCTGGCACATCGCTGCGGCCGCGCTAGCGCGCGCAGGCTCGCGCGCAGAGCGGCCAGCTAGTCTGGCGCGGTGGCGCTGACCGCGGGGCACTTCCCAGCGCGTCTCGCAGGCCGCGCTGACGCGCGGGTACTTCCATGCGAGTCGGTGACTTGGGCGGGCGCGGTACCAGGGCGGCGTCGACAACGGTAGACACGATGATGATAGAAGCGATGACGGTGACGATAATGACGATGACGGCAACAAGGCCAATGACGGCGCCGATTCTGATCACGCCGATGACGATGATCGTATCCTCGCGTCGGTGGCTGAGGTTCTGGAAGGATTTCCAATTACGCGCATGGCCGACGCGCGCGAGTGGCCCGCATTGTGTTATTTGAAAGGAATCGTGCCCCCCCCCGCACGCGCGCGAGGGGGTGCGAATGATGTCGACATGCGCGCGCGAGAGCCCCGCTCGGCCCCACTGAGTGAAAAATGGAAAACTAAAGATTCCGTAAGAATTCGCAAGAGCGCGCGCAAAGACCTTTTTTCGAAAGCTGATGTTGCAAAACCAGGTGTGTTATAGATTAGAGATTCGGGGCAATCGAGTGTGAAA